CTTTACCCGCTGAGCCATCTGCTTGCCCCCAGGAGTGTTTAAGCATAGATCTCAGTTGCCCACTATGGTTCACACCTGTCATCCCAACAAGTGGGAGGCGGAAGCAGGATTGTTTGGAGTTCAAGGCTACACAGTCTGTTCTGGGCAACCTAGAACCAGTTTGAGGTCCTAACTCAAGCGGGGAGTGGGCTAACTAGAGCCATTGCTCAGGGGGTTCAAGCACTTGTTGCTCTTGAAGAGGATGATGGTTCAGTTCCAGTACCCACATGGTGCCTCGCAAGCATCCATAACTCCAACTCCCAGGCACTCAACGCCCTCTTCTGGCCTCTTGAGGCACCAGGCACACAAGCAGTGCACATACATACATGCAGACAAAACATGCATACATCTTAAATCAAAAGAGAAAGGGGGGGAAAGGAACTGGCGTTAGAATCATGGGAAGTGCCTGAAGGGTCGGTCGAGCATTGAGCGGAAGAAAAGGCAAGATCTGGAGGTTGACTAAAGTCAGAAGACTTGAGCAGAGGAGAGAAATGAAGGGTCTCCAGGTATGATTCCCCATGAAGTGGAACCAGCAACTGACTCACGGTGGCTCGTGCTTGCCATCCCAGGACTTAGAAGATGGAGGCACGAAGACGGCCATCAGCCTGATCTACATGATGAGCCGGGGGCCAACCTGGGCTAAACGATGATTCCGAGGTCAGCCTGAGCTACAAAGTAAAGTCTGAAGCCAACCTAGGCTACACGCAATGAGGTCGAAGACAACGTGGGCTGCACCATGAATTGAGTTCGAAGTCAAGGGGTAATGACTGAGTTCAACGCCAGCCTGGGCTACAAAGTGAGATGTCTCATAAAAGGGGGGGGGGGGGGTTGTCTCAAAAAACCGGGATGACGATCTCCATCAGGCTAGGGATGCCGAGGGAGTGTACGCAGGTGAGGCGTCGGGACGCCTGCCGGGAGAATGCGGCGGCGGCTGCAGCAACGCCTGGGATTGCTGGGCAGAGGCAGCGGGACGCGACGGGCGGCCGGCCGGGGCGATGGGGGAAGGGGCAGGCGGGATGAAGGATGGAAGCGTCCGGGGCTCGGCGCCCGCTGCGCGGCGCCGCGCTTACCTACAATAGCGGAGGCGCAGCCGTGCCGCCACTCCGGCATCTTGGGCTCCGGCCGTTTCTCCCGCCGCCCTAGCTGGTGGCCATGGCGCCCTCCCCGGGAGCGCTTCTTCACCGCCAGGCGACGGCCCTGCCCGGCCCCGCCGAGGAGCGCACCCGCAGCCGCCTTAGCAGCGACTGGCCGCTGTTGCCTCCTCTAGCACCCGCCGCCCACCGCCGCGTGGACGCAGATCTCACGCCCGCCTCCATTGGCTACCCCGACTCCGGCCGCGCGATGTGTCTGCAGCTCTGATTAGTCGGTTCCGCGGGGAGGCGGGGTTTGGGAGAGAGCCGGTGGGGCCGGCACTGAGGGGTGGGGTCTGACATCCGGGCCCAGCGTTGGGCGAGCTAGGCGGAGGGGGCTCCCCCGCCGCTACCTGCAGGGGTCGTGCGTTGCTACAGCAACGGAGCCTGTGGCCTAACTGAAGGGGAGCCAGGCCAGGGCCAGGAGTCTTCACTGGATGTCCAAGAAGGCCAACATCCCTGAAACCCAGGCAATGACACACAAAAGAGCGTTCCTAGGAAGGCTCCCTCCCTGCCTGGCCATCGCTTGACACAGCACAGCAGTTAGCACACAAATCAGTTTGCACAATATTCCATACCACAGAAAAGTATAAATGAGGGCTGAGGATGGAGCTCACTGGGTAGAGTGCTTGTCTAGAGTGAAGCCCTGGGTTCCATCCCCAGTACTGCATAACCTGGAAACGGTGGTGCATGCCTCTAATCCCAATACTGAGGTGGTGGAGGCAAGAGGATCCTCTGCTGCACAGGGAGTCTGAGGTCATCCTGGACTTCATGAGATCCAAAGCGTATAAATGAAAGGAGCTCTGGTGACCCGTGTCTGTAATATCTCAGAAGGCTGAGGCAGGATTGCCAGGAGTTTGAAACCAGTCTGGGATACAAAGCGATTTCCAGCCCAAAAGCGTATATTACAAAACGAGATCTTATCCCAGCCTCCCTTTGCTCCCTGCCCAGAAGTCACGCAAAGTGGTGCACACCTATTACCCCCAAGACTTGAGAGGCCAAGGCAGGGTGTTATTCAAGGCCAGCGGGGGCTGCATAGCAAGATCTGTCTCAGAGTTAAATTTTTTTCAAACAGGAAGGCTGGAGATGGAGCTCAGACGCTCGAATGCTTGCCCTGTATGCAGAAAGCCCTGAGCTGCCTCTCAAGCACCATATAAGCGAGAAATGGTGATGCACGCCTGTCACCACAGCACTAGGGAGGCAGAGACAGGAAGGTAGGGAGTTCAGGCTCAGCCTTGCCCACATACTGTGTCCGAGGCCAGTCTGAGCTATAAATAAATACGTAAATAAATAAAAGGTGATAAGCAAATCGTTACACGAAAGAAGGACGCTGTGGACAGGAAAGAGAAATGAGAAGGAGAGAAGGCTGGATTTCAGAACAGAAAACCCCAGCCATTCCTGCTTACAACCCCCATGCACACCGAGGCCAGGTTTTACCAAAGCCGCAATTTCAACTCTACTGATGTGGACGGGAGATAGCATGGGCTCAAGGGCCGAGATGCTAAATCCAAAATTCCTGTCATCACCCTCGAGCAAATGTCACTTAGAGAATGATGTCCAATCTTAGAAATTTACTGAGAAGACTGAAAGAGGGAACCGCGTGGTGGTGGCGCACGCCTTTAATCCCAGCACTCGGGAGGCAGAGGCAGGTGGATCTCTGTGAGTTCGAGGCCAACCTGGTCTACAATTCCAGGACAGGCTCCAAAGCTAGAGAAACCCTGTCTCGAAAAACCAAAAAAAAAAAAAAAAAAAAAAAGGTGGGGGGGAGCCATGAATGTTCATGGGAACATCAGTTATACTCCTCCCCCGCCCAGCATACAAAAGAGTAAAATCCAAGATGGACGTGGCACTTGCCTGAAATCTGGTAACTAGGAGGCTAGAGTGGAAGAATCAGGAGTTCAGGACTATATAGAGTTCCAAGCTACACAGAGAGACCCTGCTTCAAAAATAGAAAAAGAAAAGAAAAGGGGGGTCTACAATGTGGGTCTCTGTGGCTCATGGCTGTACTCATATACTCCCTACACTTGGGTGGTAGAGAAAGGAGAGTAAATATTTAAGGCTAGCCTTAGCTACATAAGCCAGTTTGAGGCACCCTAAGGCCACCTGAGACCTTGACTCAGAAACAAGCTGGGTCGCTGATACAGATTGCTATGCTCTTGCTAAGGATCAGCGTTTGGTTCCCAGCACCCATGTCAAATGGCTCACGACCACCTGTAACTCCAGCTCCAGAGGATCCGACACTCTCTCTGGCCTCCATAGGCACCCGCATGTGTGTTCACATACACAGAGAGGAACATATGTATACACACAGATAAATCATATAAATGTATTAAAAAGCTAAAACCAATCACGATGCTCATTAACTGATTCATAGCAATCAAAACATGAACAAGATAATGGCCAATCATTAAAAAAAAAAAAGAGTTAAGATTGATACACTGGGTCAGCAAGATGGCGCAGTGGGCAAAAGTGTCCCAAAACCCCGCGGGGAAGGAGAAGGAACCAGCTTTCACGAGTTGTCCTCGACCTACACAGACACACAATGCCACAAGCGTGCCTACACACATACACAAATAATAACAACAACAGTAACAATAATAATTGAAATTTTTAAAATAACTAAATGACTCAGTGAGTAAAAGTGCTTGCTGTATAAGCCTGGCAATCTTAGTTTGACCCCCAGAACCCTGGTGGAAGCAGAGGACCAACTTCACAAAGTAGTCCTCTGACTTCTAAAGGAGTGTGTGCGCACACACACACACGCGCGCACACACACACACACACACACACACACACACACTACTTATGCCCCATACACAATAATAAATAAAATTTAAATTTATCTATTGAGAGGTCTGTGCAGGTGTGTGTGTGAGCACATGCATGCCCCAGTGAACGTGTGGAGCTCCTGGGAACCTCCTTTCACCACGTGGACCCTAGGGATAGGACACTGGTCACTGAGCCATCTTGCCCACCCAACACTGACATCGTCTTCTTCCTGCTCCCGAGCTGAGTCTTTCTCTACAGGCAGCCCTGAGGAGGTCGAGTCAAAACCGTAGGGATTTTGGACAATCTTGGCTATTCAGCAAGTTTGAAGTCAGCCTACTTCTGCCTCCTGAGTGCTGGGATTAAAGACATTTGCCACCATATCTGGCTTTTTTAAAGATAACAAGCCTTACCTAGAAAACTCACTGTTAAAGCATGTAGAAGCATCTAGCCCTATGACACACTTCTCTTTGAACCTGGCATCCCTGCTTCCTGGGTAGGTGTTCTACACTGAGGTATAGTTCCAGGACCCCTCATCCCTCCTTGTAAAATTTGAGATAAGTATCATTAATTTGCCTAAGATGGCCTTTAAATTTGTTAAAATTTTACATTTTACTTTGTGTGTATGTGTGTGTGCAAGCGAGCTTGTGTGTGCATGTGGTGTGTGTGTGTGTGTGTGTGTGTGTGTGTATGTGTGTGTATACACAGGTGCTATGCCATACTTATGGGGCCAGATGACAATTTGTGGAAGCTTGTTCTCTCTTCTTCCACCCTGTGGTTCCCAGGGAATGAACTCATATTGTCCAGCCTGGCAGTCAGCATCTTTTGTTGTCGCAGGGCTGGAGAGATGCCTCAGTGATTAAGAGCACACACTGCTCTTGCAGAAGACGCCAAGTTCAATTCCCAGCATCCACATCAGGCAGCTCACAATTACCTGAAATGCCAGACCTAAAGAATCCGATGCCTCTGGCTTCTGTGGGCAGTACATTTACACATACATACATGCCTTCATACACAAGACATACACACATACAATTAAAAATTTTAAAATAATCTTAGAGGATTTTTATTGCATTTATTAATGTGGAAAAGGGATACACACATACCATGGCTCACACACAAAGGTCAGAAGACAACTTTCAAAAGTTGATTCTCTCCTTCTATCTATCATGTGGGTCCCAGGGATCGAACTCAGGAAGCCAAACTTGGCAACAAACACCCTCACCTACTGAGCAATCTCAGCATCCTGCAAGCTAGCCATTTTGGTTGTTTGATTTCTGTTTTGAGACAGGGTCTCAGACTAGGGATATAGCTCATGGTAAAGAACTTGCCTAGTGTGTACAAGGCCCTGGGTTCCATCCCCAGTACAAAGACAAAACACAAAATACAAAATAAGCAACAACAAACCAGACAGGGTCCCATGTAGCCCAGGCTGGCCAGGAACTTGATTTATGACCACAGATGCCACAACGCTTACATCATCCTCCTTAGTTCTGGGTTTAAGTGTGTACCACTCTGCGTGGCTAGCCAAGTTTGGCCTTGAATTTGTGATCCTTCTACCTCAGCTTCCTAAGTAGCTGAATCAACCAAGACTCATCCTGACTATAAATATTCTTAGGCTGGAGAACTGGCTCAGTGGTCAAGAGTGTATACTACACTAAATTAAAGAATAATAATTAAAAAAAAAAAAAGCTAACACCCTGAATATGTTTGTCATTCTGCCTGTGCATCTATTTCCCTGCTCCAGCCTTATCTCTTCCAGGGGACCAGAGCAGACTCCTAAACTCTCCCCGGAGACCACAAACTACAGGTGCCCCTGAACAACAAGGAGCTCAGAAGGCCTCGTTCCTGTCTGTTTCAGGGAATAGCCCCAGCAGTACCTAGAGTCTCAGAAGTGAGAAGAGGTACTTGCTGGTACCCGAGCAAGGAGCCAGAAGCCTGTCCCATTCAGGCAAGTAGCTGTGCACCGTCTTCGTCGGAGAGAAGGTCTAGCTGAGGTTAAGGACATCACATCTTGATACGGCAATGTTTGAGGATGGATGAAAAGGCACCGTAGATCTCAACATTCATGGCTTGGTTGACGGCATTGCTTTTGAAAGAGACAGAAATGCCGAAGCCTGGTGATACGGTTCTGTAATCCCAGCTACTCCAGAGGCTAAGGCGTGAGGAGTGAAGATTCATGGCCAGCCTGGGGTTCTAATGTGAGTTCAAAGCTAGCTTGGGTAACTTGATGAACTCTTGCCTCAAAAATAAAAGCCACAGAGTTTTACTTGCACTCCAAAAGGGGCTGGGGACACCGCTCAGCGGGAGAGCTCTTCCTCACTGTGAATCCCCAGTGAGGGGATAGGGTGTGGCTCAGTGGTAGAGCCCCTGCCTAGAATCCCCCAGTGAGGGGCTGGGGTGTGGCTCAGTGGTA